TTGTTTTGAGCAATAATTGGTTAGAGGACATTTAATTCTAAGCAATAATGACTAATAAATGAGAATACATTGCATAGAATAAGAGAAAAAATCTTAACGAGTAAAAGAAAAAGTAGATTTTTATACTTGATTTAAGTTTTTTTGGATGCTTACTACTTGGATATTATGTTCTTGTTTTAAGAAATCTTACCAAGTCGCATTTGCTTGCTGCACTGGCAGATTATTTTGCTAAAAATAAGCAATAATTCACTTAAAACACTATATTTTTTTCTTATTTTTTAGGAGGCATTTTTTGTTGTGTGGATATGGCCTGGAGGCTGATGTCAGCCTGAGTGTTTAAACTTCAACATGATGACACGACCCATCAGAGGGTGAAGCATGTATATTACACAGTGAAGGAACTGGTAACTTTGCACGGTTGGTGACATGGTTACCAGCTGTCCCAGAGGAACTGGAACACCTCTTTAACCCCCCTGAGCTGCTAAGAATATGTGTAATTAAAAGCAGATCCCCTCAACACAGCAGCTTCTGTTGGTTAATAATAATCAAATTGGGTTCCAACAAGAAAACATTTATCTTTGACTCTAATTTATCAAAAAAGGCCTATGTTTTGTTCGAAAAGCAGCTTTACTACATTTATAGGATTTAGCTTTTCTTTCATAAATATCTCTAACATGTTCCTTTTTTATTTTAGCCAGTTATGTGTCCTGTTTTAAAAGAATATTTTATATCTTTTGTTGTGAACACCAATACCTTCTCATAAAGAGGATGCCACATGCAACACTGACCGGGCGGCATCAATAATTCACCACCTTGTCTCATTGGACACCCGCAACTTTAGACTTGGATGTATGGCTTACAGCATGGCCGTATGTGTAATTGATGAGATGAGCTGTTCCTCTGCGTTCTGCAGAAGATGTGTGGAACAGAAGTTACAACAGCATGCTTACATTGACAAAGTTATCCAAATTATCTGCAGATGCAAATTTTGCAGAATCTTTTGCACACTTTGCTATTTTTCTAATGCAAAATCTAATTTCTTTGATTTTGATTTTATTTAATACTCAAACACAAATTGGAAGTTCAGGTAAAAGGATGCAGAGCTTTCATATCTTAAAAGTGAGTCATGCATTTGCCCTCAGCGACACTCAGTAATTAACATTATAGAACCAGTAAATCTTTGTGGGTGAAGGATTTTGCACATCTAGAAGCCTTTCTAGAAATATTTCGCAGTTCTCCTTTGCACACGTCAGTCAAATTGAGTGAACAAAATATTCCCAGTTAGATTTAGTGCTAGACTAGAGCCATTCTACTACATGCACATACTTAAATTTTACCTATTTTGTTCTTTTAGCGGCTGCATGCAGTTTTCTGCTAGAAGGTGAACATCTGCCACAGTTCTAGGTCTTTTGCAGCCACTAACATGTTGTTCCTTGTGTTTCCTGTTATTCAGCTCCATACAGCTGTTACCTTTGCCAGTGATTAGCATCTCCAGAGCATGATGCTGCCACTGCATTTTGTTAATCAAAAGGATGGTGTGTTCAGGGTTGTGTTTATTAGTATATTTCCATCACGCATAGCCTGTTGCATGTTGGTTGAAAAGTTCAGATTTGGACTTGATTTTAACCTGACTGAATACTTTCAGTACGATGGATATCCATGTAGTTCAAAACAGACTTAACTGAGAGCTTCTAGTATTGCCACAGACTCCAAGATGTCCATAAGCCTTTGATTAAAGCTTGTTGAAACTTTTATTACCTTGATGACTGGGAATCTACACAGACGTCTTCCTGAAGTTGTTGTTTCTGATAATTGTCTTGTGGTGACTTTTAAATTAGTTTTTAACAGCTTCCTTTCAACAAAACCTTCCTCTAAAGATTCTTCTATAAAGATACTGTACACGGATAATAGTAAAATAATTAGCAGATATTTCGCCCTCAGCTGTGGATATCTCCAGCTCAACCAAAGCAAGAATGGGCCTCTTGAAGGTTTCTTTAAAATACCAATCTTTAACATCCTGCCCAATCTGTAAGTTCACAAACATTTTTTTTTTCTAACAGTGTCCTGTCTGGCAATGTGGCAAAAAGAATAATTGTCTTGATGCCAAAAAGAGCACAAAAGATTTTACTTTCACAAGTGTAGCAAGTCCAGCAATTGCCATACTGCTACACTTCTTTCATGCATAGAAATTGCTTTATTATAATTATGCAGTGAGTTTTACAGTTTATATGGACACTGCAATGTAAATAGAGCAGAAAAACAGAAGAAGAAAAGAAAAAAAAAAAAGAGAAAAGATGAAAGAAAGAAGAGATAGAAAGGAGATAATGACAAAACATTTTCAGTCTGTTCACAAAACATATTAAATGATGAAAACCAAGTCAAATCCGTTCAAATCTGTAATGAAAGTATGTGAATGTTTCTGATTTTATGCCTGTGTCCTTATTTGACCCTAAATTTTTAAATGAATACTTTTATACACATTTGGGTAAAACTCTCATGAGTCAAAATGTGGCTCATTTTAAGAATTGTTGTGTTCCAAGCTGAGTAATTTGAAGCATCACAAATAGAATTTGACATAATTCCCACTCGCATCAATAACAAAGGACAGTGTTGCTGTCTCAAGACCTAGTTTGGAGCTGCGGCTTATTAATGATTAAAAGAAAGCATTCTTCCAACTAGCCTTGGCTGCCATTTTACTTCAGTGTAACCCTATCTCTGATGACACGGCGATATTGATTACTTAACTATGTAATTATCACACATATTGATCCTTTCTTTTAAAAGCAGATCGATTTTAATGCGTTTTACACTAAGGCATGCAGCAGTAAACTTTCTTTGAGAATCTTAAACATGAAGTGTTGTTTTGTGCATTTTTTAATACATATGTGTTACAACATAGATGAGTCAACATATAACAAAAAGACACCAGATTAATGGATTAGGGCAGAGGTCTTCAACAGGGGGTCCGCGACCCCTAGGGGGTCCACGGTGGTACTGCATGGGGGTCGCAAAAGTTGTGGTTGATTAGACATTTTTTTTTTATAATTTTGTAATTTTTTCGACTTATTGAAATGTCTTTAAATCCGCATTAACATGAATTCAACTCACTGTAGTAAACAGATAAATGGAGGCAGAAGATGTCTTTCAGTCATCAATGCTCACATTCAGCGACACACAGGAGCTCTTTCAAGCTGGACACCGTTTCATTCACAACACCTGTCCCATCAACTAGGAATCGGAAATACTTTAATAAACCCAGGAAGGAAATACTAGTTTGATAGAACATCATTTCATACTATTTATATAATTAGGGGGTCCCCACTTCAGCTCGCCATCAGTTGGGGGGTCCTTTGGCTGGAAAAAGTTGAAGACCCCTGGATTAGGGAATAGAAATCCTTACAGATTCCTGTGCTGTGCCTTAAAACCTCTTTGGATTGGAAGATTCTGCTCACAGTGACGTCTCTCAGCAGCAGCTAGTTATAGTTACCAGTCTCAGGTTCAACTCTCATGCACTATTCATCGGTGTATCGCATCACTCCTACCAGACCTCAGACCTGCAGAAACACATTTCCTTTCTGCTCCCAACATAACTTTGTGGCTTTATTCTCGGGGCTCTGTAAAATGCTGATATAGCGGCTCTTATATTTTCATTCCAAGAAAAAAAAAAAAAATCAGGCTCTGAGTTTTTTGTTGCCGTTTTTTTTTAAAAAACCAGATTTCTTGGAACTACGTAAACGACGGAACCAAGACTCATTTCTGGTATATGGTATGTATTGTCAGAGCTTTCAAAGCTACGCAATGCTACATAAAAATATCTAATGTCCCACAGAAACTGTGGTATTCAGTTTCTGTGATGATGAACTTTTCAATTTCAGCTAATTTGTTTCTTAAAAGGTTCAAACTTTGATTTTTGTTTTTTTACCCAATTTATACATAATCACATACTATTTGATCATGTTATGCATGCACATCATCCTTGTTTATTATTTGCCAATCAGGTATGATTTTCTGTTTTTGCTTTCTTTTAACCAACAAAGTCTTATATTAAAATAAATTCTTATAATAAGTGATCCTATCAAATGAAGTTTTCCAACCTTTCTAGACAGACTGTATGAGAGACGGAGCACTTTGTTGATTAATTTCTGCAGAATAAATAGACTAATGGTATTATTTTCACAATGCATGTGAAATGTATCCCCTTCAATTGAAGTATTAGGGTCAGATGATTTGAATAATTTAAAGGCCCGTCTGAAGGCCATGCCAAGGTGTGGCAACACGCTGAAATTATAGACAAAAACTATGACCTTAAACTTTATATCATTGCTTTTGGGATGGAAGAAGTTTTCTTAACCTTTGTTTTGTAGTTGTTCCTTGGCCTTTCGTGGATAAGCTGATTTGCACAAGGTTACAAGGTTGTTTGTTTGGTAGGTATTTCAAAAACAGTCACGATAAATTGGATATTATTATTATTAATATTATTTTATTGTTGTGTTAATAACTAAAACAAACTGTTTAACTAATGCAAAACACTGGAAAAAATTGAAATCTAGATAAGTTATTTTTTTCTTAAAATAAATGCATTTGTTCTTGGATTTAGGAAGTAAAAGAAACCTTTTGACAATTTACACTTAAAATAAGAAAACACAATTGCATTGTCTTATTTCAACTCCATTTTATCTAATTATCTTATTTTAAGATTAAAAATACTCATTCCATTGGCAAACTATCTCAATTACCCACTCAAATTAAGGGTAACTACACTTAATTTAAGAAATATTAACTTATTTCTAGATCTTTTTTCAGTGAAGGAACACCAAATACTGATAGTTTCTAAAGTTTGAAATCTAAAGTGTAATGGATGCCATGATGATGCAAAGACACTGATGTACTTTTAGAGTAATATTTATTTTATAGTTAATTCAATTTCCTAATTGACATAAAAACCACATTGTCTAAAGGCAGAATTTAATTATCAGACAATTGGCAAGTAGCTGTGAAAACCTGCATTAATTTCTGTTCAGGGTCTCAAACATACATGAATCAGCTCTTTTAAAATGTTTTTTCCCCATCCTATAGACACTATATATGTGCTTAACTGTCCATTTGATCATTTGTGTTTTGCAGAGTGTTCAGAGAATACCACTGAACCATGAAGCGCAGTAAGCACCGTGGACAAAAGGAGGACAAAGGCGGAGGTATCACCTTAGCTAGCTCATTAGGAGTCAGAAAGTCTAGTTAATTATTACACAGACTCAAACTGTTTACCTTATATGTAAAACATTTTGACGGCATCGATAGAAAGCTCTCAGTGCAAAAACGATCTGGAAACGTGTAAAAATGTCTTAAAATTAGTGTATTAAGCATAATTCAAGCAAGTAAATAATAAGATTTGCCAATGGAATGAGTATTTTTACTCTTAAAATGAGATAATTAGATAATATCCACTTGGAATAAGACAATGCAATTGTTTTTTCTTATTTTAGATGTAAATTGCCTTATTCCATTGGCAAAGTGTATCACTTAACTGCTTAATTCAAGAAAGAAATGCTTTTTTTTAAAGAAAAATAAACTTACTTAGATTTCAATTTTTTGCAGTGCTCCCATTTTATTTTTCTATAAATTTGTCTTTTGTACGATCTATAGATGAACCAGCAATATTAGAGACACAGAACATGGATCGTAATGGGATGCTAATGGGAGGTCCAGACCCGGACACCGTCTCTTTGGCCTCAGTCACAGCTGTCACAACCAATGTATCGAACAAAAGGCAAGCTAGTGAAGTTTTCACCCGTATAGAGATCATTTTTATTATTGATTATCAATAAAAAAAATTCTAAATTTTTGAATAGATCAAAGCCGGACATCAAGATGGAGCCCAGTTCTGGACGACCAATGGACTACCAGGTAGGATAAAGTCATTGCAGAGAGTTCAGACAGAGACATTTTGACAGAGACATTTGTGTGCATTATCTTGTGTGGCATGCAGATTTATTCAGTTTTGTGAAATAAACAAACTTTTCTGGACAAGTCTTGGAGTGTATTGCTCTTCACGCAACATATCTTGTGTGAAACATGTTAGTGGCAGCATCATACTGAAGGAATGACACATTTATAATTACAGGGAACATTATTGGAGTTAATTTGATGGATGAAGGGAGAATCCTGGAAAAAAAAAAGAAACACAAACTAATAAAGTTATATAAAAGACTTGAGATCAGGCTGGAAGTTAATGTCCTATAGCACAGTGCTCGTAAACATAAACACTGAGCTACAGAAGAACATTATAGGATAAAACCCATGTGTTAATGCCCTAAATTATTAATATCATTAGCTCATAGCAGCACAACCCAAAGGTACTAATCAATATTATTATCAATTTACCAGGTTACTTAATGTAAAAGTGGTTTAACAATATGAATGGGTGTAATTACAGGTCAGTGTGACAGTGATTGAAGCCAGGCAGCTGGTTGGCCTTAACATGGACCCAATGGTCTGTGTGGAGATTGGGGAAGAAAAAAAGTACACCTCTATGAAGGAGTCGACTAACTGCCCTTACTACAATGAAGTAAGTAAACCATTATGATGTGATGTTAAGAAATTCACTCTTAGATTCTACATTTATTCACAATAAAACGCCGTTCCCAACTGTTCTCTCCTCCAGTATTTTGTGTTTGACTTCCACGTCCCTCCAGATGTCATGTTCGACAAAATTCTCAAAGTGTCTGTAAGTCATTCCTTTCTTTGAACCGACTCACAGGAATTCCTCAGGTGAGATGGATCTTTTTTTTTATGTTTGTGCTTTTCATCCTACCTGTAGGTCATTCACTCCAAAAACCTTCTGCGAAGTGGAACGCTGGTTGGGTCTTTCAAAATGGATGTTGGCACAATCTACTCCCAGCCAGGTCAGGAACCAACAGCTTTGACAGCTGAAAGCTCCCATCAAGCTCTCCTATACACAATTATGGTCAAACGCTTATATATACGCATTAGCAGCATTCATGCCTCACTAAATGTGACCTTTTAAAGTTTTATTTATTTGTTTGTGGAAGGGTGACAATGCAACATGCAACTTTTATAAATACACATAGCATGTTTGTTGTAAATAATCTCTTAATCGCAAAAGATTGAAATTATACAGACATGCTTAAAATACACAGAAAATTTAAATTACAAGCTGCAAAAAATCTATAGCATGTACATTTTCTGATGAAACCACAGCTGAATATTTTACTTCTCTTATCAGACAAAGGTTATTTAAATTGTTTGCTGTTATGCACAGTCAACGCTTACATAAAAGTTTTAAAGTTTGCTGCAGCCCAGAAGCTTATTGTTGGTGCCTACTGCACTGTACATCCGGTTCCATTGACCTTTACAGTTATTATGCTATCATAAGCAGTGGTCCTATTTCAAGATTCAACCATCTAATTCTCAGACAGTAATTGTTTATATCAACACACTCCCGCAGCATGATGCTGCCACTCTGTGCAGTAACCTTAGAGACAAAGACAAACCTAAATTCACTGTGGACAGAAATACAAGTTTTGCTCATCTAGTTTATAATAGGCTTGAGGCTTAAAGTCCTTTAGGTGTTCCTGATCTATCCTCTAAATAATTTCCTTTCATCTGGGGCTAGCAGCTTGGGTCGCTTGGATACAGCGGGGTGTTCCAGCATTACCTGGATTACCATCGTGCAAAGAGGACTGCTAAAATAATCAGTCAGAATTTTGTCAGAGCCTCGTTGTTGATCACTAAAAGGGTGCGCTTTGTCTGCAACTTACTGAAAAACCAAATATCAAGGGGGAGGGACACATTTCTTTGCACTTTATGAACAATATTTAAAGCCCAGGTGGACTCAGGAAAATCTATAATAAAGCTGAACTTGTGCTCTTTAAACATTTTTTTCTAAAATATTTATATATTTTTTAAAACATTATTTCAAAACCAAAAAGAAAGAAATAAAAAGAGTTAAAATACAGCTGAAAAACCTCAGAATGTAAATAATATTTAAGTGTTTTTTCAGCCAACTGGCCCATTTTTTTCATCTTTTTATCTTACAGAACATCAGTTTTACCACAAATGGGCACTGTTATCTGATCCGGATGACATTACAGCAGGCTGTAAAGGCTACGTTAAATGTGACATCGCAGTCGTGGCTAAAGGAGACACCATCAAAACTCCACACAAGGCCAACGAGTCTGATGATGATGACATAGATGGGTAAACGAAACCTTTACAAATGAGAATAACACAATCTGAACAGTTCTAAACATTTAAATACTCTCTGGGATAGAAACCTGCTGCTGCCTGAGGGGGTTCCTGCAGAGCGACAGTGGGCTCGCTATTACTTGAAGATCTACAGAGCAGAGGGACTTCCAAGGATGAACACCAGCCTCATGGCCAACGTCAAAAAGGCTTTCATTGGAGAAAATAAAGACCTGGTTGATCCGTATGTTCAAGTACTCTTTGCAGGGCAGAAGGTCAGTTCAAAAAATGGTTGATCCCTGGTCTTTTTTTCCTTTTTTGTGTATCGACGTATTAACTGACTTGTTGTGTGGTTGCAGGGGAAAACATCAGTACAAAAGAGCTGCTATGAGCCCATCTGGAATGAGCAAGTTGTTTTTACAGAAATGTTCCCTCCTCTGTGCAAACGCATGAAGATCCAGATTCGGGACTCAGATAAAGTGAATGATGTGGCTATTGGAACACACTTCTTAGATTTGAAGAAGATTTCCAATGATGGAGACAAAGGTGATTGATTGTTAATTGCAAAAAAAACCCAACAAAAACTACTAAACAGTATGATTTAAAAAGTGAATGGAGCTGATTTCTGATATTTACAACATGGCTTTCTGCCCAGAGTGGCATGACCTGATGAGTGCAACAACATTCACAGAAAACTGCTTCTTTTAAACTGTGATAAAGCATATTTTTGCATACATGCAAGTCCAATAAAAGGCAATGGTGCCCTCCTGTGGAGTGCACACAGCATGACAATAGTGCCATTATTAGGCTTGGCTGATAAACACTGTAGTTGGTGTCTATATATATATATATATATATATATCACTACAAAAAGCTCTAGTAATAAGTACAAATTTCTTAAATTAAGTGTATTTACCTAAAATTTTTGTAGTTAAATAAGATCATTTGCCAATGGAATTAGTATTTTAAAATAAGTGGAATACATAATATTCAATTTAAATAAGAGAATGCAATTTTTTTTTAATTAAAAAAAAATAATAAATGTAATGTGTCTTGTTCCATTGGCAGAGTGTCTCATTTGCTTCTTCAATTCAAGAAAAAAATGCACTTATTTTAAGAATAATTATTTATATTTAATTGTTTGCAGTCTTTAAAAGATTAAATTGTTGATTGAAAACAGAATAGCAGCAAAACAGCAGCTCCCCGTATGTCCTCCTGCGCTGTGCCTGGTTTATTTTGGTGCAGCTTTGCTGCCTTAAAAATTATACTGCAACATCATTGGCCGACCTGTTTTGGGTCGGACTTGATGGTTTATGCTGGAGTGGTGCAAATGGTTTCCCGTTTGTTTGGTAATTCATAAAACAGCAAGAATTCAGCTTACAGGAAGGGTCAAGTCAGAACTCAAATGAGTCTTTGCACTGAACAAACATTATTGAAAAACATTTGACATTTGCATAACATTTCCTCTATTTGACAAAAGAAAACTTGCATATTTTGCAATGATTTCCTGGTAAAAAAGTAGCAGCTTTGTAAAAAGGAGCACCTAATATTTAAATATTAGTTTGCAGCTCATAGAGCTCTGTGCTTAAAGAGGATTCTTGTCTCAAACTTGTGTTAAAATCAGTCTACTTTTCCATCTAGGTCAGCTTTTATCAAACCAATGTTTTTACCCAGTTGTTTTAGCACTTTTATGATGCAGCTTTCAGTTATTTTCCAAGTTATTAACGACACATCTTTTACACACTGTTTCTCAGGCTTCCTTCCCACAATGGGACCTGCCTGGGTGAACATGTACGGCTCCACCCGCACCTACACCCTGATGGATGAGTACCAGGAGCTTAATGAAGGACTTGGGGAAGGTGTGTCTTTCAGGGCGCGTTTGCTCATTAGTCTGGGCGTGGAGATCCTGGACCCCTCCTCGCCTGACATCACCAGCTCCACAGAGGTTCAGGTGGAGGGAGTGCCTAACATCTCTGAGGTGGGTCTCTGCTCTGGATGAGCAGCCATGCGAGGCAAGCATATCGTACCTGCTGCTGACAGCTCATTGTGCTATAATTAATGTCAATTATTAATAGCTCTAATTCAGCTCATCTCATGTAAAATTAATAGTAGTTTGCACTGATGAGGCTCTGTCTACTCATGTTTAAACACTCATAGTTGTGTTTTGTTCCACAGACTGCTACTGGGAAGGTTGAGGATTTCTTCCTCTTTGGGTCTTTCCTGGAGGCTACAATGATTGATAGAAAAATCGGTGATAAGCCAATCAGCTTTGAGGTCACAATAGGTATTCTGATTATATCTTTGTCATAGTGACTGAATATGGTGAGAAATGAAGCAAAGAAAAATCCATATTCATAAAGCTTTCTTTTCCAGGTTACTATGGAAGTGAGAATGATGGAGTCATCCAACCTAAAACAAAGGAGAAGAAGGGTGGCAGAGATGGTGCTGAAGAGGAAACAGAACTGATACACAACTCCAGCGACGAGGAGATCGATGATGAGGGAGACCTGACTTTGGTGTCATCTACTCCACCTATGAAACCTGTTATCACTGACCGGTTAGTGCTGTTATGTTACGATAAGTTCAACCAGTAAAACAAGGGGCAAAACTGTGATTAGAAAGGGAGTGACATTACATTTTTAGATGATTTATTTTGTTTTACAAATTAAAAGTCATCATCTTTTCCTCAACTCTAACAAAATTCCCTATCCTTCTGCAAGGAAACATCCCTAGAGATTTTGTGTTTAAAACCATGCATCCCTTTCCTTAAACCTAATAATTATATGCCAGTTTTTTTTTTTTTCATTATCACATAAAATCCAAATAAAACACATTGCTTGTGTTTTTAGTGTGAAAAAGAGAACTTGGCATGAATAATTTTTTTTAACAGTATCATGATGCAGAACAGAGGACCTAGTATTCAGGCCAGTCAGACAGTGGAAGAACTAAAAGAAAAGCTTTTATTTAAAGCTACAGCGTGTAATAATTACAGGGATATACAGTCAGAAATGTAATATATTATACATAACTATGT